AATATATAGATTTTAAACTATGAAGTTTTCCTCTAGTAATAAGTGAATGCATACATTTCTTACTCATATGACCAAGAATTCAATGCCAAAGACTACCATCAACATCTGAATCCGTTATTCCAATTGAATCAACTCTTCAATTAAAAACATACATGATGCCTTCAATACTTCCACGAGCTATAACATAGCCCCCTTTTTCACTTTTCATGCATCACATTGTTTTGGTTATTCAAGTGTTTCGCCATTGGGGTGTTGACCAACATTTTCATATTAAATAATTAATTTCTTCATCAAGAATACTTTGTTTGAGGACGATGATTTCTTATACATCTTAGTCAATATGGCCATGAGATTGACTGTAGTCTTCTCATTTGCAATGTTAAATGCAATATATAATGTAAGTAAAATTCGTATCAAACCTAGTGCAATCTGATCAAGAACCTTCCACTCCTCCATAGTCATAAGATCTGGCTTCTTGGTGATTCCTTCCAACTAAAAATACAACTTTTGATACAACAAATCTTCAATTTGCATTCTCTAGAATTCGAAGTTCAAACCATTGAACTTTTGCATCTTATATATTATTTTGTCCACCATTACTCCCACTCGAACTGAACAACCTTGCTCTGATGCTAGTTATTGGGAATAAGGAGTAAAACTCCACAACAAAGAAACAAGCAAGTAAAAAAGTTGCAAAAAAATAAAGGACACAAGGATTAAACGTGAAGAATCCAAAATAAGAAAAAAACCATGGAGCCATACCACACCAAGAAATCCAGTATGAAATTTGATAGAAATAATTTTTTTCATCATTAAAACATTAAATTGCTAAAGATATAAAAAATAAAAATGAAAAAAATAAAACAATTTGCTAAAGATGTGATTTATGATTGAGAGAAATCAATATGAGTCGTCAGATGGAGTGATTCGGATTTTCTTTATATTTGTATGGAAAGTCACTCTTAAAAATTTATAAATGTGATTTCAATTTTAAATTAAAGAAAAGAGCTATAGTTTTTACTAGGGCTTAAGATTCAAGAGAATAGCCAAAGAATAAGAATTAAATTTTAAAGAGATTTGAATCAGAAACACTTTACAAATAGCCAAAGAATTTAGAGCCACTTTGAAGCTTTTGCCAACTTTCCTTAAAAAAAAAACTCAATATAAGCTCAATTGTTCCTGACTAATACATTTTTTTAATGAATTTCTTATGCATTTATAGCCAAGAGCATCATTAAAAAAATGTTAATCAATATGTAGATGATATGATTATCTTAATTAAGTTTTACTAGCCCCTTTACTTCATGAATCATTTATAATAAGTAAATTCAAGCAGATTGCATAGTATGAAGTACATCATGTTATTCAATCATTGCATTATATGATTTATATCATATTATATGACTTTATAAGTTAGTATTTTGATATTAGACATTCAATTGCAAGTTTAATGACTAATTTTAAAGTTAGATATACTATACACTCATCTATCAGATTGTCCAATCAACTAACTATACATAAAACATGATATCCTAATAGTACCATATAATTTGATAGTAAAGTATGATATATATTGTGCTAAATGATCAAGTATACAAATGACTAGTGCTCATAATGAATGAAAATATATTTTTGTAACTCTTAATGTATTTCAATAATCAAATTATAATGTTTAATGACATTAAATAATTTTCTTAATTTATCCAATATAAGTGATATTTATAATAAATTTTATAACCATATAAAATAAAAAAAATGTTTTAGCATATTTTAAATAATTTATTCATCTCATGCTCTATAAAAATAATCTTGAACATCTTTACTAAGAAGTCTAATTCTTATACATTAGACTTATCATCTTGCACTTTGCATTTTAAATTATCATGATAAAATCAATGTTATTCTACCTCCAATTAATCAAAACTTGAAATCAATCCATCTCTAAGTAAATACATCTTTTAAGTAGGTCAAACACATAATATTATCATTATGGTTGTTGTTGTACGAGTACTTTACATATACACTTAATAAATCTTATTAGATGTCATGTCATATTTAATTTTAAATCATCAGATTAATAATAGCTCATACATGAGGCATATGAACTCATGAGGTTAACAATTTCATTTTGAAGGATACAATGTATCTATTAGAATTTTTAACCAAGACGGATTTAGACCTAAAATTTAAACCAATTGGATATTGAACAATATGAATTATGAAAACTCTTGCATCATCATACTAGTTTCTAGGATAATATTATTTGCTCATTAGTATGCTCATTTATGTGAATGAGTATCAATTTCATGATCTAAAACTATAGTGCTTGAATAATCATAATTAGAATATCACGAATAAGTTTCTAATAAGAATATATATAAATACTTGGCCCAAATATTCATGACACAATAAAGTTGTAGAATAAGAACAACAAATTCAGAGCTACGTGCAATCAATGATACATAAATAATCTAAAATATTTTGCATCAGCATAAATTTTACTGTTTAAATTAAATAAAAAAAAGAAAAATTATAAAATATAGATTTAAAATATATGAAGTTGAAAAGAAACTAATCTTGTCTTTTTGACCACAAAATTTTTCACTATTAAAAATATGTATACCATTCTTTCTATATACCACAAACCATGAAGATTTTCTTGCTCACTCGAAAAAGAAAGAAGACGAATATCCTCCTCTTCCACTTAGACGCTCCAAAAATCCCATAGGACCAATAGAAAACCCCCACCTGGCCCCACTACTCCACGGACTCAGATAAGCTCCCCTTCTCTTCCCGCACTGTCCACGTGTCTTAAAAATATCTGTACCATTCTTTCTATATACCACAAACCAAGAAGATTTTCTTGCTCACTCGAAAAAGAAAGAAGACGAATATCCTCCTCTTCCACTTAGACGCTCCAAAAATCCCATAGGACCAATAGAAAACCCCCACCTGGCCCCACTACTCCACGGACTCAGATAAGCTCCCCTTCTCTTCCCGCACTGTCCACGTGTCTAACCTTCTGACCACCAATTGCTCTCCTCTCTCTCTCCCACTCTCTCAGTCTCTCCACACGATCACTCGCTCTGCCTCTATACATTCCACAGTCTTCCCCAGTCTCTTTCTGCAGCAATGGCTTCTCTGGTTTTCACTCCCTTCATTCTACCCTGCTCCAAATCAGAGCACTTCTCTTCCCTCTCCCACATCAAAGTCTCCCTTTTCCCCCGCCTCACCCAACCATCATCCAAGGTCTTCTGCGCCGCCACCGGCAACGGCCTCTTCACTCAGACCAAGCCGGAAGTTCGCCGGATCATACCAGACCCCTACTCCGCCGGAGAACTCCCACTCCCCCGTGTCAAAATCGTCTATGTAGTGCTTGAAGCGCAGTACCAATCATCTCTCTCCGCCGCCGTCCGAACCCTCAACGCCGGCCGCCGCCACGCCTCCTTCGAGCTCGTCGGATACCTTGTCGAGGAGCTCCGAGATGAAACCACTTACTGCACCTTCTGCGATGACCTCGCCACCGCCAACATTTTCATCGGCTCACTTATTTTCGTGGAAGAACTGGCTCTAAAAGTAAAAACGGCTGTGGAGAAAGAACGGGACCGGATGGACGCCGTACTCGTCTTCCCGTCCATGCCCGAAGTCATGAGACTCAACAAGCTAGGATCTTTTAGCATGTCTCAGCTAGGCCAGTCCAAAAGCCCTTTCTTCCAGCTCTTCAAGAGGAAGAAACAGGGCGCCGGGTTCGCCGAAAGCATGCTGAAGCTAGTCCGAACACTTCCCAAGGTCCTCAAATACCTCCCCAGCGACAAGGCACAGGACGCCAGGCTTTATATCCTCAGCCTCCAGTTCTGGCTCGGCGGCTCGCCGGAAAATTTGGAAAATTTCCTCAAAATGATCTCAGGCTCCTATATCCCTGCGCTCAAGACGTCGAAAATCGAATACTCCGACCCCGTTTTGTTCTTAGACAGCGGAATCTGGCATCCGATGGCTCCTTCCATGTACGACGATGCGAAGGAGTATTTGAATTGGTATTGTACGAGACGGGATCTTAATGCCCAGCTGAAAGATCCCAAAGCCCCGGTGATCGGATTGGTATTACAGAGAAGCCACATCGTGACCGGAGATGACGGGCATTATGTGGCGGTGATAATGGAATTGGAGGCGAGAGGGGCGAAAGTGATACCTATATTTGCCGGGGGGCTGGATTTCTCAGGTCCGACGGAGAGATATCTGATAAATCCGGTGAATAACAAGCCTTTCGTTGACGCGGTGGTTTCGCTGACAGGATTCGCGCTCGTCGGAGGCCCGGCAAGGCAGGATCATCCGAGGGCGATAGAGGCGTTGAGGAAGCTTGATGTGCCTTACCTTGTAGCTTTGCCGCTGGTGTTCCAGACAACGGAGGAGTGGCTTAATAGTACATTAGGATTGCATCCGATTCAAGTGGCTTTGCAGGTGGCATTGCCTGAGCTCGACGGCGGGATGGAGCCGATTGTATTCTCCGGCAGGGATGCCAGAACGGGTAAGGAATTTTTATTACGTATAAGATTTTTTTTTATTTTTTTTTGGAAAAAGTATAAGATATTTTTATCATGAAAACTGTTTTCTTTTTAAAAATGACTTATATTTTAATATTTCATATACATTTAATGACAAATATTGTCATAAATAAAAATTTTATGTATGTATTGAAAGAAATAATGATTTCAATTTATATCTTAACAGCACATTAACGATTTCATGTCATATCTAAATAAATTTTTAAAAATAAATTTATGAGAAAAAATGTTACGCTAATTGGCAGGGAAATCTCATGCTTTGCATAAGAGAGTGGAGCAGCTTTGTACAAGAGCTATAAGATGGGCAGAGCTCAAACGGAAATCAAAGGTAATTTCCATCTTTTAATGTTCATGTTTTCTTAAGACTTTCAACTTAATTGAAGGCAACAATACATATCATTATTTAATTATTAAGAGAAATACCAGCACTGGGCCCATTGAAAATAAAATAAAATCAAGAAAATTTTTTAAATTATCTTATAAGACTGTTTTTTAAATGGAAATCCGATACTAAACACCTTTTCTCTAGATACTTAGAAATGTCTGTGTTTTTTTTTTTACTTCCGAAATTCCTACATTTTTGCAATTTTTAATTTAATGATATTTATTATATCATGAAAATAAAGAATTTTTTAACTCTTTTATTAACTAAAGATACAAGTAAGTTTAGGGTTTTAATTGCAGCCAAATATCCTCTTATTTAGATTAAAATTTGTGAATATTTGCAAGCAATATTTAATTTGTAAATGAATTATAATGAACGAAACCTTTTTTGCCATTTTACCAGGAAGAGAAGAAAATCGCGATCACGGTTTTCAGCTTCCCGCCGGATAAGGGCAATGTGGGCACCGCGGCCTACCTCAACGTCTTCGCCTCCATTTTCTCCGTTCTCACCGAACTCAAAAAAGAAGGATACAACGTCGGCGATCTCCCCGACACAGCCGAAACCCTAATCGAAAACATCATCCACGACAAAGAGGCAAAGTTCAGCAGCCCTAACCTGAACGTAGCCTACCGGATGAGCGTCCGCGAGTACAAATCCCTAACTACCTACGCCACCGCCTTAGAAGAAAGCTGGGGAAAACCCCCCGGAAACCTAAATTCCGACGGAGAAAACCTCCTCGTCTACGGAAAGCAATTCGGAAATGTCTTCATAGGCGTGCAGCCTACTTTCGGCTACGAAGGCGACCCGATGCGTCTTCTTTTCTCCAAATCAGCTAGCCCTCACCATGGCTTCGCCGCTTATTACTCCTTCGTGGAGAAGATTTTTGGCGCTGACGCCGTGCTCCATTTCGGCACTCATGGATCGCTGGAGTTCATGCCGGGAAAGCAGGTGGGGATGAGCGATGTTTGCTATCCCGATAGCCTCATCGGAAATATACCTAACATATATTACTACGCCGCGAACAATCCGTCGGAAGCTACCATAGCCAAGCGAAGGAGCTACGCTAATACCATAAGCTACTTGACTCCGCCGGCGGAGAACGCCGGGCTTTATAAAGGTCTGAAGCAGCTCTCCGAGCTCATCTCCTCTTACCAGTCCCTCAAGGACACAGGACGCGGGCAGCAGATTGTTAGTTCAATTATCAGTACCGCCAAGCAGTGTAATCTGGACAAGGATGTCAGCTTGCCGGAGGAAGGAGAAGAGCTCTTGCCTAAAGAAAGAGATCTTGTGGTTGGAAAGGTATATTCCAAGATCATGGAGATCGAATCTCGATTACTTCCTTGCGGACTCCATATAATCGGAGAGCCACCATCCGCAATTGAGGCGGTGGCCACGCTCGTCAATATCGCCGCGCTGGATCGACCGGAAGACAATATTTTCTCCCTGCCGGGAATTTTGGCGGAGACTGTAGGAAGAAATATTGAAGATGTATACAGGGGAAGCGATAGAGGAATTTTAGCAGATGTAGAGCTTTTGAGGCAGATAACAGAGGCTTCACGAGGATCCATTACTGCTTTTGTGGAAAGGACGACGAATAAGAAAGGGCAAGTGGTGGATGTCGCAGAGAAAATCACCTCAATGTTTGGATTTGGTCTTGCCGAGCCATGGATTCAGTACCTGTCGAAAACGAAATTCTTGAGAGCGGACAGGGAGAAGCTGAGAACTCTGTTCCAGTTTCTAGCCGAGTGCTTGAATCTTGTGGTGGCTGATAACGAATTAGGAAGCTTGAAAATGGCTTTAGAAGGAAGCTATGTTGAGCCTGGGCCAGGTGGAGACCCTATAAGAAACCCAAAGGTTTTGCCGACGGGGAAGAACATTCACGCGCTCGATCCGCAGGCGATTCCCACGGCGGCGGCTATGCAGAGCGCAAAAGTGGTTGTGGATAGGCTGCTGGAGAGACAGAAGGTTGATAATGGCGGGAAATATCCGGAGACGGTCGCTCTGGTTTTGTGGGGGACGGATAACATCAAGACTTACGGCGAGTCTCTTGCTCAGGTGCTGTGGATGATCGGAGTACGGCCGGTGGCGGACACATTCGGCCGCGTAAATCGAGTGGAACCCGTCAGCCTTGAAGAACTCGGCCGACCTAGGATCGATGTTGTCGTCAATTGCTCCGGTGTCTTCCGAGATCTATTCATTAACCAGGTAAGTGATAGACACTTAATCGCTTCAGATATCAGATTAACTGGAAATTTAACTTAATTAACCTGCAGATGAATCTACTGGACCGAGCAGTGAAGATGGTGGCGGAGTTCGATGAACCAACGGAGCAAAACTACATCCGCAAACACGCACTGGAGCAGGCAGCGGAGTTAGGATTACCAATCCGAGAAGCAGCCACCCGTGTCTTCTCCAACGCATCGGGCTCCTACTCTTCCAACATCAATTTAGCAGTTGAGAACTCGTCTTGGAACGACGAGAACCAGCTTCAAGACATGTATCTAAGCCGCAAGTCCTTCGCCTTCGACTCCGATGCCCCCGGCGCAGGCATGATCGAGAAACGGAAAATGTTCGAGATGGCGCTTCGAACGGCGGACGCCACATTCCAAAACCTTGATTCGTCGGAAATCTCGTTAACTGATGTGAGCCATTACTTCGACTCCGATCCGACGAATCTCGTACAGTCGCTTAGACGCGACGGGAAGAAACCGAACGCCTATATCGCGGACACGACGACGGCGAACGCGCAGGTAAGGACGCTGGCGGAGACGGTGCGGCTAGATGCGAGGACGAAGCTGCTAAACCCTAAATGGTATGAGGGGATGATGGGGAGTGGGTATGAAGGCGTGAGGGAGATTGAGAAGAGGTTAACGAACACGGTGGGATGGAGTGCGACGTCGGGGCAGGTGGATAACTGGGTGTACGAGGAGGCGAATAGTACCTTTATAAAGGATGAGGAGATGCTGAAGAGGATGATTGAGACAAACCCTAACTCGTTCAGGAAGATGGTTCAGACCTTCTTGGAGGCGAGCGGGAGAGGGTATTGGGATACTTCTGAGGAGAATTTGGAGAGGCTCAGGGAGTTGTATTCGGAGGTGGAAGACAAGATCGAGGGTATTGAGCGCTGAAATACTTTTCAGTTGTTCGTTTCTTGAGATGGACTGCTCATTTGTATCTTCCATTTGTTAAATTTCTTCTACTTTTTGCGGGCTTGTGCTGCATGTCAAGGGTGGGAATGAAATTAACCCATTCAAGATTTGGTGTAAAGGAGGATGTGGTAAATCCTATATATCGGATTATTAAATAATGAGGCAGTTAAATTTAAAAAAATTATTTAGCATAATAATGATTAAATTCAACTGAATTATGATAATTTGTTTAGTAATTTATTTCAAAATTTAAATCATTCAATGATTAGTGATGATGAAATATAAAGGAACAATCCAACATGATCATTATTGCATCATAGAATATTCAAGGCTATAGAGAAATATAAAATTTAATATTTTAGTTTTATATGAAGATTCAAAACACAATCAAATAAAAGAGAAGATGTAGCATTCATAAGAGACACTAGAGTTTCTACATGGAAACTCTTGAAAAGGGGTAAAATAACGGGGCTTGTCCCAGTTTGAATGAATCCACTAGTGTTTGCAGTCGATTACAAATGAGGCACTTCCTTGGGGGAAGGCCTTGGCTTGATGTAGCAAATATACATCATATAGAATGCATTACATGGTGGAAATTGGAAGAATCAATATTGACATATTTGTTTAGTCGGTGGGATCATAGTCGGCGGGCGATCGAGGTCGAAAAATTGTAATTGTGTGACGGTAGTCGAAAGGACCGTTGTTGGCTGGTGATGGAGGTCGTACAAATCGTTGTTTGGCGATGGAGTTCATAAGGATCATAGTATGGCAGTGGAGGTTAAAAAGACCATAGTCGGCGGGTGATAGTGTTTAAAAAAACCGTTGTCTAGTGACGAAGGTCGGAAGGATCGTAATCTTGTGATAGATATTGTGAACCAAGTGAAATATCCTTAATTGTAAATTGAAGATGTCATGAAGTTAGTGTGTTGATTGGAGCAAAAGTATTAAAAAAATTACATTTCAAAATATTTGAAATTGCTTAAAATTTATTATAGAAGTTCCGTTGAACTCCAAAAGTGAAAAAATTGAATCAGGAACATCAAAAAATGAATCCAGAGACTCCAAAAACATATGATTTAAACTATTTGAGCTGAAAATATGACCTAGATGCATATTGGTGGCCGAACCGGCGGTTGCCGGAAAGGCGCGCCTCGTGGGGGGTGCGGTTTCATTACAACTAGTTAACAGTTAACCGATTATAGTTATGTTTATTTTTTTTTTGGATCCACTTCTTTTTTTTTAAGCACGTGAGGGTGGTGGCTTCAGTGGTGCCCTGCCTATATTTTTTTTTGGGACCCACACATTTTTTTTTAGAGAGATTTTTTATCCTTTTTTAAAGAATATTCTTACGATAGATAAGTGAAAAGTGCTCTGAGATATTTTGTGCTCTGCTAGGGTTTCGTTGTTTGCTCTCCCCTGACCGCCACCTCCTCCTCCCCGAGGAGGACCTCCGTAGGGATGTCCTCCTCCATTTTTCCACCTCTCAACCCTCCGCTTCACACCCCCTCTTCTTCCTCTCTTCTTCCTCGAGACTGGAAGAGCCTCATTGCTACTCAACCGCTTGTTTCGAACGAGTTTACCTCTTCGATCGCTCACGTCCCTACCGAAAACGCTACTGCTCATTTCACCTCCGCTCAGTTCAACGCGGGTTCTCCTGAATGGGCTTTATCTCTGGTCGGCTACTCGATTGGCCGACGACCATACTACGAAGCGCTCCTCTCGACGATTAAAAAGGCCTGGTCTTTAAAAGGTTCCCTTACCTTGCTCACCTTGGATGAAGGCTTTTTCCTCCTCAAGTTCAACAATAGAGAAGACTACGATATGGCCTGGTCAGGCGGACCTTGGTTCTTCTTCGGAAAGCCTTTTATTTTACAGAAATGGACCCCCGATTTTGTCCCTGTTAGGGAAGAGTTCCCAGTATTTTCTACCCAGAATGGAATCTATGCTGCTCCGTCCAAACCTTTGGAAAGTTTTTAATGATCTGGACGTTCATGAGACTGATATTAATAGGAAAAACTTTGGCTTCTTATTAATATATGCTATTGTTTACTATACTTGGAGAGCCCACAATGACAGACTGTTTGGAAACAACATTGATTGCCTTAATACCATCACTTCTAAGATCAAAAAGGCTGTTTTTCTTAAGTCGTTCAAGAAAAAATGCTTCCTCACGCAACAGTTAATGTTCACTTGATCTTTTCCTTTTGGCTGTGGAAGGTATGCTGGTGTCCATGGATGGTCAGTTTTGGCAACCATGGGCTGCTTGGGTTTTTGAAGGACAATGATGATTGCAATCTTCCTCTTCTCCCCTTGGACGGTCTCGGTTCTCTCCTTCTTTTGGCAACCAGGGGAGCTCGACATTCCATCTATTTTTTGGTAGCCTCGGTGGTCTAATTGCTGATTGCTTACTGAGTCCTTAGAATTTTGTATTCTGTATCTTTAATTTTGGCTTTTCTCTTCTTTAGCAGCTTAGGCTGATAGTTTTGGCCTTTTTGCGGCTTCTTTGTATTCTCACTTGTTTTTTTGTCTATTATTCTGTAATCTTTTTACATCAATGATATGGGCTTAGGCCCCAAAATTTCCCAAAAAAAAAAGAATATTCTTTATTCTCTTTTAAAGATTTTAAAAATATTCTGATTCTTAGGGGCTATTGGCAATAAGTGGGATTTTACTTTAGTGAGATTTAGTAAATTCTATAAATCTAAATTTAGTAAATCTTGAGGGTGTTAAATCCTGAAAACTATTTGGTATGACAAATGTTAAATACTGAGAAACTATTAGTAATATATTTCAAGATTATGACAGTTAGAGATTTAAATATGAAGAAGATAATTATGAATTAAAATATAAATTTATCATTTAAAAAAATTATTTTGTTATTAATTCAATAACATGTTAAGCACAAATTACTCATTAATTATTATGTATACTATCATTTATATATTTTAAGTTATGTTAATTAAGATAATTATATTAATATTTAATTACTAATTATATTACTAATCATTTAATTATGTTAAATCAGATGATTAATTTTTATATAAATTATACTATTAATTTTGTATATTTTAAATTATATTAATTAAGTTAATCAATAAGAACTTAGAGGAGTTTAGGGTTTGCCTTTCATCTTCTCTTTTCATCATTACTTTTTAGCTTCGTTGCTTCGTATGAGGTGTAGAGATTGCACATGTTACTGCTTTGGCTCCTTCATGGTTGTTCGATGTTGCTCCTTCGACGACTTTCCCTTCCTATTGGATCGAAAGTTACGACATTTTGATCAGAAGCAATAATGGGAGATCGTTAGCTGTGAAGCTAACTTTCTATCTTTCACACGCTTCTTCAGCCAAATCCTATAAATCCGCCGAACCGAGGGATTTACTAAATCCTGGATTTAAAACTGTAAACCCTTAAATCCAGGATTTACTCATCACTGAGATTTAATTTGTACACAAAAACCATTTGGCTTGATTTTGTTTAAATCTGACTTAAATCTCGCTATAAATCCGATACCAAATAGCCCCTTAGAATATTCTTAACATATGCTGAAATATTCTTATTCCGGTAGAATATTTCTCCTTCGTTTTTCTCCTATAAATAGCCCCCTAGAACAGGGGAGAAATTGCTCCTCTTCTCATTCTCCATTTTCCCTCTAACTTTTTTATAGTTGAGGCATTCCACTATCTTGAATAGGTAGCATTCCCTATTAAGTACAAGTGTCACTCTCTTATGTAGAAGTTAGAGTTTTCAACCTTCTTTATGCTTTTCTTTTATTCTTATTACATTAGAGGCATTCCACTATCTAAGATTAGTGGCATCCCTTATCAAGCTTGAATGCCCATTCTTATGTAGAATGAATTTTCTCCTCCTTCCCCTTTCTTCTTATTTGATTTTCTTGTTACATTAGAGACATTCCAACGTCTGAGATATGTGGTATTCCCTATCAAGCTTCAGTGCCCCTTTTTTATGTAGGAGTCCTGATAAGAGTTTACTCTTTTAATAGACTACCATTAGTAGCTGAAGATCAACTATGTTTTGCATCGAGGGTGATTTGAGAAGATCTAACGATAATTGTACAATATTATCCTCATTTCTATTGCAAATCTGATTTCATGGATTAGACTTTTGACGATAGCAAACATTCATGATTTTCTACGACTGCCTTGCTTACTAACTTTTCAAGTCCACAAGATCAAGTGCAACTTAGGCTAGCTCAAGATTGGGTAGATTAGGTCTGAGTCAGTTTGTAATTTTTCCTTTCTTGAGTCTATTTTAAATGATGTGGCTTATGTGCTAAGTAACCTTGCACACACACATGAGGGAAATTTTTTATTTGTTGGTTAGAGTTATCTGCTTTGATCATATCATCCGGGATGATCCAAGCATCATCCTGGATGATCTGTTAAAAACAGAAACCCTAACTTAGGGCATCCTAGTTAAGGCAGGTGTCATTAAGCATATCGTATTGGATTATATTTGTATCAGCCAGAATGATAGGCTCAAATAAAAAAGAATCAGCCACCAGATCTATTTAGGTATTCTTTATTTTTGGACATCATCCTAGATGATGCAGCTCAATTATGCCTAAATTAATCTGCTAATTAAAGGAAAGTAATTAAGATTTGATTGGTCGATCACATCGTCCAGGACGATCTTATGATCATTCGGGACAATATCTTGGATGATTGACATCGGCCAGCTTCTATTCAGGATGATGTTTAGGATGATTTTTCACGGATTTAAGCTAATTGGCCAGGACGATCGTGAGATCGGCTTGGATGATCAAGCTATTGTTTCATCGTCCAGACATTCTTTTAGAGCAATTGTCTAGATGATATTCACGGAATTGTACTATTCATCTAGGACGATATTATATTGGCCTGGATGATATGACTAAAAATATTCTAATCGTCCCAAACTGACTGGGCTGATTGAGCGAAATTTACGCTGATCGGCCAGGACAATATGCCTATCGGCCTGGACGATAAAGTCAATTTGTATAAAATAAGAGCTATTCCGAAGTTCTTTTATTTAAGAGCTCTTGTTCTACCCTTTAGCTTATCTTTTGCTGCTGCTTTGACCTGAGAGAGCCAAGAGGAGAGGGAGAGCAAGGGAGAGAGAGAGAGAGAGGATCTTGTGAGGGGGAGTTCGTGAGGGAGTTCATAAAGGATGCTCCAAGAA